CATTTTTTGCTATGGTCATGAGTTTGAATACTATGCTGCATGTCTTTAATATGCCTGTAATCAAAATTTCACCCTACTGTTGCGTTTCCATGGGAACATACTAATCAAATATTGTAATGTTTTTCCATAGGTTCCTGCCATCAATTTGATAGGCACTATCATGTGGTTTGCTGATGACTTCCTCATGGTCAGACTCTCTCCACATATATCTAAAGTTCTTGACAAGAAATCACAACAGGCTGCTCAACATCAGAGAATTAATTATCTTCAACAGAAAGGCCAGACACTTGTAAGGTACTATCATACATTGTAAAATTGTACCATACATTAAAATGCTCTGTCTACACATCAGTCCATCAGTTTTATGTACAATCATAATATTGGTTGGTTGACTAGGATAGAATATAATTGAAGATTATTGTGTGATTTCTCTTCAGAGATGTACAACAATTAAACATGCAAGTTTGTTCATGGATGGTGCAGATAGAGTCTAACTTATCTAAAGGCAACACGCTTGTACAAGAACTTCATAATAGATGTCTGCTCTTCATACAGGTAAGAAGTGCACAAATTATATAAAAAGTTTGCATTTCATGACCATTTCAGAATGTTGAAAGATGTTCTTTGGAACTTATTATATATTAGGTTCATAAGTTAAACCCAAATTAACAATTATTGTTTGTTTTCAGGGTTTGATGTATGCCCATAATATTGGTCACATAGTGAGAACAGTGATGAATCTACATGTGGTATTGAATCAGCCAATGACTCGTACTGCAGTACTATCGCTTTGTAAACTGATAGAGTTATTAAAGGTAATGTATTGAATCAGCCAATGACTCGTACTGCAGTACTATCTCTTTGTAAACTGATAGAGATAAAAGGTAATGAATCAGCCAATGACTCGTACTGCAGTACTATCGCTTTGTAAACTGATAGAGTTATTAAAGGTAGTGTATTGAATCAGCCAATGACTCATACTGCAGTACTATCGCTTTGTAAACTGATAGAGTTATTAAAGGTAATGTATTGAATCAGCCAATGACTCGTACTGCAGTACTATCGCTTTGTAAACTGATAGAGTTATTAAAGGTAGTGTATTGAATCAGCCAATGACTCGTACTGCAGTACTATCGCTTTGTAAACTGATAGAGATAAAAGGTAATATGTTGAATCAGCCAATGACTCGTACTGCAGTACTATCGCTTTGTAAACTGATAGAGATAAAAGGTAATATATTGAATCAGCCAATGACTCATACTGCAGTACTATCTCTTTGTAAACTGATAGAGATAAAAGGTAATATGTTGAATCAGCCAATGACTCGTACTGCAGTACTATCGCTTTGTAAACTGATAGAGATAAAAGGTAATATATTGAATCAGCCAATGACTCGTACTGCAGTACTATCGCTTTGTAAACTGATAGAGTTATTAAAGGTAATGTATTGAATCAGCCAATGACTCGTACTGCAGTACTATCGCTTTGTAAACTGATAGAGATAAAAGGTAATGTATTGAATCAGTCAATGACTCGTACTGCAGTACTATCTCTTTGTAAACTGATAGTTATTAAAGGTAGTGTATTGAATCAGCCAATGACTCATACTGCAGTACTATCGCTTTGTAAACTGATAGAGTTATTAAAGGTAATGTATTGAATCAGCCAATGACTCGTACTGCAGTACTATCGCTTTGTAAACTGATAGAGATAAAAGGTAATATATTGAATCAGCCAATGACTCGTACTGCAGTACTATCGCTTTGTAAACTGATAGAGTTATTAAAGGTGATGTATTGAATCAGTCAATGACTCGTACTGCAGTACTATCGCTTTGTAAACTGATAGAGTTATTAAAGGTGATGTATTGAATCAGTCAATGACTCGTACTGCAGTACTATCGCTTTGTAAACTGATAGAGATAAAAGGTAATGTATTGAATCAGCCAATGACTCGTACTGCAGTACTATCTCTTTGTAAACTGATAGAGATAAAAGGTAATGTATTGAATCAGCCAATGACTCGTACTGCAGTACTATCGCTTTGTAAACTGATAGAGTTATTAAAGGTAATGTATTGAATCAGCCAATGACTCGTACTGCAGTACTATCGCTTTGTAAACTGATAGAGTTATTAAAGGTATTATGTATTGAATCAGCCAATGGCTCGTACTGCAGTACTATCCCTTTGTAAACTGATATTAAAATAAAGGCGATATTTTTAATAGCCAAGAATTATTCAGCCTGTTTTTGTAGAGAGAAAATATATATTTACCATTTTTTTCTCAATTTTGTATTTCAGTCAATTGAGTATACATTCCATCATCGCACCATGTTAATAGCAGAGACTATTAATCACATCTTACAACATCTACAGTTTATGGCATTGGCGGCTATTAACACTGCTAAGGTTGGTTGACTTGCTTCACTGTTCATGTGCAAAATCTGATATTTCTCTGAAACCACCAAATGAATATTTCACTGTTCATGTGTAAAACCTGATATTTCTCTGAAACCACCAATTGGATATTACACTGTTTATGTGTAAAATCTGATATTTCTGTTTTGGTACTAATTTTACTCTGTTCATGTACAAAACTACACATTTATGACCAATTTCATACTATTTTTGTGAGAAACCAGACAGTGATTTTTCTTATTGAAATAGTATACAATCACCAAATATTTAACAGTGATGTCATGAATATTGCTTGTGATATGTTGTGTGTCAGACTTAACATGATGCATAATAAGTCTGTGTGACAATCAGTGGTTAGTGCTGGATTGGTTCTGTTTAATGGCCAATATTTATTGTATTTATTTTGTAGAAAAGAATCATTTCTGATAAGAAGTATAGTGAAAAAAGATTGGTGAGTTCATTTTTATTGACTCCCATGTGCGAAGCACAGTTAGTTAGTCTGTCTGTCTGTCTGTCTGTCTAATTGGCATAGTAATTAGCCAACTTTCAGCATTTTCACTTGTTTCTTGCTACATAGCTGCTGTGGGATAATGCGCAACCCTGATTATTTTTAAGTTGAAATTCACTACGTTCAATTACCCACCATAGACTCCGGTCAGTCAAAATGACTATTTTGAACTGTAGGCATTAATCAGCGA